TGCAGGAAGGTTAGGGTTTGGCTATAGCTGATAGTTCTCCTGACTTCCCTGCCCAGAATGATGGGTCCTGGTAGTTTTCTGGAAAGTATCCAGGTTGTCTAAGTGGAGACAAGACCCTAGCTGATATTAAAAGACACTTGTGAGGGCTGAGAACGTAGCTTAATTAGCAGACTGCTTGCCTAGCATGCATGGCACTGGTTTTATACCCAGCACTGCTGGGTATAAACTCAGCCCATACTTGTAACCCCAATGCTCAGGAAGTTGAGGCTGGAGGATCAGAAATTCAAGGCCATCCTTGAATACATATTGTGAGGCCAGCCTGGGATATATGAGACTCTGTTTTTTTTTTTTTTTTTTTTTTTTCTTCACAGGGTTTCTCTGTGTAGCCCTGGCTGACCTGACCTGGAACTCACTCTGTAGACCAGGCTGACCTCGAATTCAGAGATCCACTTGCCTCTGCCTGAGTGCTGGGATTAAAGGCGTGCACCACCGCCCAGCTTTTTGGTTTTTGTTTTTTTTTTTTAAAGACATTTATTTCACTGACTTCGCCTCCTAAACACCCAGCTGTCTCCCAGAATATCCAATTATTTCAAAGGACAGCATAGGAGTAAATGCTTTCTAAATGGGGCTTCCATGGTTAGTTTGAGCCTAGTTCATCTTGTGGGAAGGGTGCAGGGGGCCTGCTCATAGGACTGGTGGGGGTGTAGGGTGGTGCTGAGGTTCCCTGGGGTCCAGAGCTACCCCATTTAGGAAGTTGGTTCCTGCCTCCATCAACTGGACCAGGTGCCACAGAAAGGAAGGATTTCTCCGACACAAAGGATCCCGTTTAAAGGCCGAGAGCAGCCTGGATGCTCACAGCTGCTACTCACCTACAGGGACAGAGAAACGCTTCATTCTCGACTGTCTCCTACCCTGGGAATGGGAAGCACTTGCCCTCCAGCCCCCCAGCGCCTCCCCCCCCCCCCCCCAGGCTGTCTGCACTCCTCATCTAATCTTTACCCCAGTCCTGCCCTCCAAGCTCATTATCAGCAGCAAGCATCTGCGACCATGAAGACAGATCGTGAGGGTCCTGCTGTGTGGGGCCAGGGGCCCTGGAGACCCTTTCCCTTCAGCTGCTGAGCATCCTGGCTCATTTTAAGCGACCTACTTCCTTTTACAGACTCAGTATGTCAGACAGCTCAAGGTGAATGACTCTCAGCTCCATCCAAGCTCAGCCAGAGGCTGGACCAGGGCCAGCTCGCCCCTCCCTCTGAGCGATTAACTAGATAAACTGCAAGGTTTGCCCTGGGGCTTAGAACCCAGCGAGGGGGTAGAGTCTATACACATCTTTCTTTTTAGCCTGAGTCCCTGAATAGGCGTTTCTTATGTAAGTTTGGTTAACTCAGCTCATCTGTCTCTTTTGCTGTGATGACGGACAAACTCTTTCCAGACAAGGAATTCCAGAGAAGGACAGACCAAGTGGATGTAAGAATAACCACAAGTCACTTCCAGAGGGAAGAGGCTCACTTGTGGGGCGATGAGCCCCAGATCCAATGCTGGGCAGGCATTTTCCTGAGATGAGTCTGACCACAGCATAGGCTGCAGGACTTCAAAATATGTTTTTCAACACAAAGGTGAGTTTTTGTTTTGAAGTAACTGTTTTCTTACCTTGAATTCCTGAATTTAAGTGATTTTCCTGCTTCAGACTCCCGAGTGGCTGGGAATACAGGCCCTCAACTCAAAACCAAGATTCACTGCTGTCTAAAAACCCCAAAGTACTGGGTGTGGTGGCACACACCATTAATCCTAGCACTCAGGAGGCAGAGGCAAGGGCATCTGTGTTTGAGGCCAGTGTGGTCTACATAGGGAGTTCAGGTCATCCAGAGCTACAGTGAGACCCTGTCTAAAAACCAAACCAAACCAAACCAAACCAAAAAACCTCACAGCATCAAGAGTCCAGAGAAATTTTTAAAAAATATATTTATTTTAGATTATGTGCATGTGGATATGTTCATGTGAGGCACTGGATCCCCTGGATCTGCAGTTACCAGCAGTTCACTGATATGGAAGATCACTGACCTCGGTGGGCCATGGGACGAGGATTCAGGATCATACGGAGTATCTCCTTGGTCAGATGAACTCCCCTTTCTGAGGACCATGAGTTAGACAGATGTGGAAACCCTGAGCACTGATACAGGCCAAAAAAATAAGTGGTCTGTTGTTTTTTGAGCCAGAGTTTCACCAGGGCCCAGCTTGGTCTCAAACTTCCTACTCAGTCTAGGATGACCTGGTCCTTCTGGTCCTCCTCTCTCATCAGAGGCTGGAGTGCTAAGATTTCGGGCATGTGCCATCACACCTGCCTCATATGGTGCTGGGTGGCAACTGAGCTACATCCCCAGAACCCCCCAACCCACTTTTGAGACCAGGTTTCACTGTGTGTTTCGGCTGGCTTAAAACTGTCTTTGTAGACCAGGCTGACCTTCAACAGAGATCCACCACCTCTGCCTCCTGAGTGCTGGGATTAAAGATGTGCACTACTACCAAACCCCTCTCTCCTCCTGAGGTATGGTCCCATTTAGTCCAGACTGGCCTGGAACTATCTAGCCAAAGATGACTGTGAACTCCTGATTCTCCCACCTCCACCTTACAAGAGCAGAGACTACAGACAGGTGTGAATATGCCCAGCTCTTTTTTTTTCTTTTCTTTTTTGAGATGGCGTATCACTGTAGCCCAGGCTAACCCAGAACCCACCTCAATCCTCCTGCCTCAGCCTCATGATTATTGGGATTACAGGTATGTGTCACTACAATTGGTTTATATGATGCTGAGGATCAAACCCACGGCTTCAGGCATGCTAAGCACTCCTAACTGAGCTCTGTCCCAGTCCAGGCCACAAACACTTACCAAGCTTCACGCTGCCCTCCCTCCTCCACATCTCCTGAGGAGACCCCAGTAATGCCAACCTTGAGAGAGAAACCAGCTCAGCTCACCCACCAAGCTATGAAAAATCTTTATTGTTTTATTTTTCTCCATTAGATAGACTTTCAGTTGGAATAAGAGGCCACAGGACACTTGCACTTCCTCAGAGGGTGAGCCTGGCCAGTGCTGTAAGAGTGAGCTGAGAACCACTGCTAGGATAGAGCATATGCCACCACCAGGGCTCAGCTCTGAGGGAGTCACAGGAACCAACTGAAGGTGGCGACACCCTACTTTATATAATCTCCCGAGTGAGGGGAGACTGAAGAACCCCATCTCTGCCCAGGAGCTCAGCCACATCTCCAGGCCATGCTGAGTTGGTATTCGAGTGTCTGTATGTGTGTAAACTCACACTGTGCCTACACACACACACACACACACACACACACACACACACACACACACACCACTCCTCTCCAGGAATGATGCCCTCAGGCTCTTGCTAGTTAGGCTGGTATCAGCGTAGCTGATTCTCCACTGTCCTTGCTTCCTGGAACTCAGTGGCCTTGGCCATTGGTCATCTAACAGTGACCATGTGCTGGAGGATACGGGGTCTCAGCTATGACATTCGAATTCTCCTCCTGGAACAAGGCTGGTTGGTAAAAACCCTCCACCGGCAATGAGGTACCCCAGGGCTTGATCTCAAGACATGCTGGCATTGAGCTGTACACTCCCTCACACATGGGAGGCCTAAAGCCCCAAGATGGGAAAAGACGTTTCAGTCATTTACCATTTCTCCAACTCCTAGAAAAGACATGTAGGGGTAGGGTGGGTGAGATGATAACTCAGACCCTCCTCAGGAGTTGCTATAAAATGTGACCCTGAGGGTCAGCCTGTGGGGCCCACTATTGAAGGTCTAGCTGGTCCTCATCGTGGGCATTTCATAAACAAGCCTTGTTACTGTCCCTTCAAGGCTGACATGGAGAGATACTGTGTAGTGGGGACTTGGGCTCAGCTAGAGCACACCTGCTACCCAGGACCTTCTACCCCCAGGCAATGGACCCTGGGGTTCTGGGAGTGAAACTGGGGTATCTGCTTGGGTAAAGACCCTCTTAGGATCTTCAGGATCTGGTGATGCTGAGTCCCAGGGGAGGGAGGAGGGGGGTACGGGCAGCCAGTGCTGCTGTGCTTAGCATGGGCTGGCCAGGGAAAGGGCTGCATAATTCATTCTCACCCCAGGAAACTGGCTGGCTGCCAACTCTCCGAAGTGAGTATATAAATCCTGCCTCCTGGTCACCCCTGAGCTCTGGGCTGCCGGCTCAGGACAACACAACGCTCCTTGGGGACCCTGTTTTCCAGCTCTGGACCCTGCTCTGGGTCCCTGGGGTCCCTTTGCTGGTGGAGGCAGGTGTGGTCGTCAAAGCACAGCAATCTCCAGGTGTACCCTCAGGCCTCAAATACGCAGCAGAATGGAAGTAAGACCATGGCAACGGGAGTCAGGGCTGAGCCAATGGGAAACCAAACCCACATACTGAATGCCAATCAAATTCAAACACAAACCCAATACGTGAAGGCAGCAGCAAGCTCTTTGTGTAATAAATATTGCAAAGCTCATCTGGTTTCTTTCTTTTCTTTTTTCAAGTCAAATCTAACAATCAATATCCCCAAACCCTGTTTTCTGCATCAGAATAGAGGAAGTTGGTGATGTGAGCACAACACCTGCAGCCAATCAAAGAAAAGACCATTTCCCACAAGCCAGCCAATCCCAATCTTTTTCCAGTTTAAGCAGCCAATCGGGCCTCTTCACGTTCCTGAAAAATGACCTAAATAAAGCACCAGAGCTCGGACAGCTTCCGGGGAAGCCAGACACCGAGGCGCAAATTTTTAAAAAAATAAAGAGTCAGAAATAAAAATAAAAGGTTTCCGTTGGTCAAGATTTAAAAATAAAAACGTTTCTTCCTGCAGCCAATCACGAGTCCATCCCTTCAAGCCAACCACAAACCACCACTGGCATCTCCCTGGATGCCAGCCCTGCAGAGTGGCTGGGGTGGGGAGGGTGGGGTGGGGTGAGGGGAGAAAAGGGACGGAGGGAGGTGGTTTGCTACCGCTCAGCTCAACCGGCAGAGGAGCCCCACAGATCTCTCGGCCCTCAGTAGCTTTCAGGGTGTTCCAAGGGGCTTTCAGCTACTGCCTCCGGTCTTCCGTCTCCGACCTGGAAAACGCCATCACCACATCCTCTGCACCTGCGGACCAAGGAACAAGAACTGCTGATGGTTTCTGGTATCAGAACAAGGCAGAACAGCTGTGCTCACCATGGAGCATCCCTTCTCTACCTTCCCACCCCTGGCAAAAGAGTGCAGAGTGCTTCAAAGTGGCTGGGATGTAATTCACTTGGCAGGGTGCTTGTCTTGCACGCAAAACCTCCTGGGTTTAGTCCCTAGCACCACATGAATTGGGTGATGTCACTGATCCCAGTACTGAGGAGGTGAAGGCAAGGGGATCAGAAGTTCATGGTCCTCCTTGGCTACACAGTGAGTTCAGGGCTAGCCTGGGGTACATGACAACCTAAATAAAAGAGGGAAGGAGAAGAGACATGCTTCTAATTAAGTCCATTTCCCCTCTTGTCTTCCTACAGCCAAGCAGGGGACATGGCAGTGACCCCAGCCTGATGTAAGGCTTCAGGGCGTGGTCCAGAGGCTTGTTCAAGGCCACACTGCTAAGACAAGAGACAGGTCTTTGGTCCTGAAGCAGGGCTCTGCTCTGCTCATGTTCCTTATTCTAAGGGCACCACATTAGGTGGGAGGCAAGATTTTCTTGGGAACCTCTACTCTTCAAGTTTAGATCTTGGAGCTGGAGAGACGGCTCAGAGGTTAAGAGCACTTGTTGCTCTTGCAGAGGACCCAGGATCAGTTGTTAGCACCTACATGCTGGCTCACAACCATCTGTAACTCCAGTTCCAGGGGATCTTACACTCTCTTCTGACCTCCATGGACACCACATACATATACACAGGCAAAATGCTCATATACATCAAATAAAATACACACACACACACACACACACACACGTTCTTTTTTTAGACAAAGTTCTTCTGTGCAACACCCCTGGCTGTCCTAGAACTCACTTTGTAGACCAGGCTGGCCTCAAACTCACAGAGATCCATCAGCCTCTACCTCCTGAGTGCTGGGATTAAAGCCATGTGCCACCACTTCCTTTGTCTTGTTTTCCCTAAGACAGGCTCTGACACTTGGCCAGAAGAGGCAAGGGGAGGAGGGAAGGAGCGAGTTGGCGGTGCCTCTCTGTCCTCGCATCCCACACTACCTGTCTGCCCTTTCTAACTGCTGGTCCAGCATTTTGTCCTGAACAGTAACAATCAGGCTGCCTGTGGCCTTTCTGGCATACTTCCCTTCTGCGATATTGGAGGCAATCTCCCTGGAAGAGGCAGATGGGAACAGCAGGAGCAGGAAAGGCCTCCAAGGATTGGGTTGGGTGGGGGTGGGGTGCAATAGGGCCTCTGGCATTTGGACTAGGGTCAACATAGTGTTAGCTATCCTTGTTCACACAAGGGAGTGCTTCCGGCACACCTTGCTGCTTGGAGGAGCCAGGAGGCACCTGAGGTGGTGCTGCAGAAGGGTGGCACATGTGACACATGACATCTGGAAGTCCTGCCTTCACGTCAGCACCTTGGTGCTAAGGCAACTTAATCTATCATCCATCCACCCTGTTTCTGCCTCTGGGATTCTGTACTTATCAGCATTCTTGAAAGGGAGACAAGCCTCCAGAAAGGAGCCCAGATATCTGGCTTCTTGGGAAGAGACACCTTTGCTTGAGAAGCCCTATCCTTTCTGTTTGCTTGGCAACATTCTGTTCTGCTCCAGTCCTGGGACCACGCACCATCGCTGCAGGCAGGATTGTCCTAGCAACCACAGACTCCAGGATTACATCATACTCCACATGGCAGCCGAGCTGGGCACCTAACAGACGCTCATTTCTCCAAGGGCTGCCTCCAGCTTGCTGGGCATGAGCAGGTCGGAGCAAGACTGCCAGTGTTGGCAGAAGATGCTTCTGTGGCAGTGAATGGCGACAGCCCACTCTTCCTCATCTGCCTTGTAGGCTTTCTCGAAGGGACCCTGGGCCTCTGCAGTGAGCTGCAGGCACAAAAATCGCACTGGGTCCCCAGGAGGGAATGGTGACTGTGCAGAGGGAATGGGCCACCGGCTCCTTGGAGAAGCTCAAGCTCTACAGGCTGCTCAGTGGGTACATGCCCTGTACTATGAAGACAGGAACTGTGCTGGCTAGTTTATGTCAACCTGATCCAAGCTGAAGTCATCTGAAAGGAGGGGACCTGTAGATGGAACCAACCATCTTTTTAAATAAGAAACACAGAACCAATGCAAAGAAGAAAGCCAAGAGGTCAGAGCTAAGAGCTAAAACCTTACCCTTCCTCCTGTGGTGGTCCTACCTCTCTGAACCAGAGCTACCCCTGTGTTAAAGTCTTTATATAGAGTTCCTGTTCTGCCTTCTCATTGGTTGTAAACCCAACCATATGACCGCCTCCTCACGGCCTGTCTGTATAGACCTCCAGGTTTTCTATGATTGGTATGGAGATTAAAGGCATGTGTATCCAATAATGGCTGTATCTCTGAACACACAAAGACTTACCGAGCTCTGCCTACCAAGTGCTAGGATTACAAGCGTACGCCACCACTGCCCTGCTTTCCTATGGCTTGCTAATAGCTCTGACCCCCGGGCAACTTTATTTATTAACATACAAATAACATTTTAATACAAATAAAATATCACCATAGGGACCTCAACTGAGAAAATAACCTCCGTAAGATATGGGTGTAGGGCATTTTCTTAAAGTGACTGATGGGGGAGGGTGCAGCCCTGGGCTGGTGGTCCTGGGTTCTACAAGAAAACAGACTGAGCAAGCCATGGGGAGCAAGCCAGTAAGCAGCACTCCTCCATAGCTTCTGCATCAGCTCTTGCCTCCAGGTTCTCGCCTTGTTCCTGCGCTCACTGCTTGTGATGATGAACAGTGACATGGAACTGTGAGGGAAATAAACCCTTTCTTCCTGAGTTGTTTTGGTTATGGTGTTTCAATGACAACAACAGAAACCCTAACTAGGACAATGACCTTCTGAAGGTCACAAGTCACTCTGATAAGTATGTAACAAGACACGTAGAGAAAAAGCTTTGTAAGAGTTTTACCCTCCCACACTGCCAGCTGGCCACGTACTCCCTGAATGGAATCCACAGGCCTCATTTCAGAGCCTCTGCTCTGTTGCCGGGGCTGCAGAAGTCCACAGAGGCTCTGCCCATCCCACACCCTCTCCTGTTTCTAAAAGACTTGATGACCACTGGGACCTTCCTTCCTTTGAAGCCAAAGAGAGGGCAGGCTGAAGTTCCTCCAGAGCATCCTTTGATCTGTCCATATCATTAGTGGACCAGGTACTCATTCAGTTAGAGCCCAAGGATGCTGGTGCTCCCTCTCTTCTCTGGAATTTGGACCAGCAAACAAAAAGGATGGGAGAGCTGCTCAGACTGTCATCATGGCTTGAGCCTACAACTCGGTTCCTGAGCCCGAAGGGGCACGCTGCTCCCTCACAGACCCTCTCTGCTGTCCTGCAATGCCCATCCTCTACCCCCAGGGCAGCTATCTATTTTTTTGTAAGGCTCCACCTTTCCCATTGGTACCTTCTGTCAGAACTTGTGCTCAGCACTTCTGTGCATTGCTTCCCACCAGATGCAGGTGAGCCCAGGCAGGGGGAGCTCCTCAGACACCCCTGAGTCTTCTCCAACAAATTAAACGACAGGAGTAATAAAACCGGACAATTCACCTCACACACACACACACACACACACACACACACACACACACACCACAGATGTAGACCTACTATGAATATACACAAAAATGCTTACAAAGGCTAGCAAAATGACTAGAACAACATATCAAAAGGGATCATATATCCAGACCAAATTATTCTAGGAAAGCAAGGCTGGTTTAACATCTGAAAATCATTTGATGTAATATGGTCTACCAACAGAATAAAGTACAAACCCCATACCATCACCTTACACAGAAAATGAATCTAACAGAATCCAGCATCCCTTCATGACAGAAGATTCACTGAACAGGAAACATGGGAGTTTCCACCCTGATAAAGGGCACCTACAATAACCAAAACTGTCACGATACTGCATGGCTAAAACTCACTCCAGCAAGACAGGAATGAAAGGGTCTGTCTGTTCTCCACACTCTTCCTCAAATTGATTTTTGCTTTGCTTTGGACATTTGAGACAGGGTCTCACGTAGCCCAGACTTGCCTTTGACTGACAGGCCTCTTGCCTCAGCCTCCCCAGTGCTAACATTTCAGGCATGTGCCACCACACCTGGCAGTTCAATCCTGGGCAATTAGGTGAAAATAGATAACTAAATAGCATATACATTAGAGGAAAGGAAGGAAACTATTTCTGTTTGTGGATGTCATAATCTTATAAGTAGAAAATGCTCTGCAATTTCTACTTACTAAAAAGCTATCAACTAGTAAATATGATAAAGTTGTAGGGCATAAGACCAATATGCAAGTCTATTTGCATACACTAGCAATGAACAATCTGAAAATGAAATTAAGAAAATAATTTCATTGATAGTATCATTCAACAATACTACAACACTTAGGAACAATTTTTATTACATTTACTCATTTATTGTGTGGGTGAGAATGTGTGTATGCTACAGTACATATGGAGGTCAGGACAACCTCAGAGGTCCGATCTCTCCTTTGACCACGTGTGGCCTGGAGAAAGAACTCAGGCCTTACACTCTAACCACTCAAAGAAACAAAAAAGTTGAAGTCATCTGGCGGTGGTGGCGCACGCCTTTAATCCCAGCACTTGGAGTCAGAGGCAGGCCGATTCCTGTCAGTTTGAGGCCAGCCGAGTTCCAGGACAGCCAGGGACACACAGAGAAACAAACAACAACAACAAGTTGAAGTCCATTACCCATTCACCATGCCCTTTTCAGTGATGGATTAAATGAATCCAGGGCACAAGAAGGAGGGGTAGATTTCCACTGAGTCACATCTCCAGTTTAACTCAGGCTTCTGGGAGACAGGGTCGAACTATGTAGCTAGCCCAGGTTGGCCTCAAACTCACACTCATATCCCTCTGTCTGCCTCCTGAGTGCTGGGGTTCCAGGCCTGGCCAGCAAGCTCCTTAGAGCAGCTCTGCACCA